TTTTTTATATTTTAAAACGTTATGGCATGCTTTGGCGCGGGTATTATTGGTTTTATATAAATTTGTTGGTGCATACGAATATCGTCGGATAATATTACCCCTATATGAGTCGTTTAACGAAAGGGTTAATCAAAAATATCAAATAATTTTTTTAATACAATATCCAATCGCGCGTGTTATTTATTTGAATATAAAATACTTATATTATTATTTATTTAAATGTAATTAATAAATATAATGTTATAAAAAATATTTCTTGGCCGACTAAATATAATTCTTATTTTGTTATTTAGTTTTTATTCGGATTAAAGGAAAAAGGGATTATTGTTTTTGAAACACGTAGGGAATAATGTAAACGTTCTTTTTAAGATCGATAAAAACGATAGTCATTAGAGAGAAATGTAAATGTTATCAGTCTTCGCTATTCAAATAAAAATGCGAATGTATTTAAACCGATAAAATTACATTTAAATATAATGCAAGAAAGAGAGAGAGAGTAATGACAAAAGCTATTTACCAAATAGAGGTGAAGGTTGCATTTTTTAGGTTGGTTGGTCCCTGACCCGCCAGGGATTGCTAGCTTCCCTGAACCGCCATCTTTTCTTTGCCATTTTTTCAATCTATGCAAATCGATTCATTACTCGAAGAAGTATTTTACACGTAGACAAAAGTGTGTGCTTCAATTTAAAATAAGAGTCATTTAAATCTATTTATCCTAAGTATAAAAAATATTTATTAGGATCTTATATATCTACACACGTATAGACATACACACATGCATTTTGGGTACACATAATGACGAACATACATTCATACGTGAGATTGAGTAAGGACAATAGAGAGGGGAAATTAAATGAAAAAAAAAGAATTTTGAGCTTTCCTACTGTCTCTTCTCTTTCTTTCTTTCCTTTCTCTTTTGTCATAACATCGAAACGAATTTTCAGATTCAGTCTAGCGGAATGAGGCGGGACAACGCCGTTTTCCGATAGGATATCTCAATTTATAGCTATTCCGCGAGGACAAAAGCATTCTACCCGAATTATCTCTTCTTTATCAGGAATTGTCCTTAAATTTGCCGTTACGGAATCCGATTTATCAATGCTTTCGATTCGTTGATATTACTTTCTTGAATGTTGTCATTTATTTTAAATCCAAATTACGTAATCTTTTAATTACTATCCGTTAAATAAAAAAAGTAAAACATATTTTTAAAAAATAATTTATTCATTTTAAATAATAATAATTTTTCAGTCCACAATTATAGAAATTAAAATGAAACCTTTACAGTGGTTGGAACCTGTTCATATGACACTGTAATGGTACAATTTTATTATTTTAAGATTTTACAAATAAATAAATGATATTTACATAGGAATAAACAAGTCTGTAAAATCGTAGAATTCTTATTTCGAATAATCAGTAAAATAGGATAACAATTTTATTCCTATATGAATTAATCTAAAATTTCTGTGACATGGATACTTGAGTATGAAAATTATGTTATTACTTTGACGAGTAATTTCTTTATCGTCATCTATCTTACTCTTTCTCATATAAATATTTTCTACCTGGAATAGTATATAAGTAAGTCCTTGGAAACGTTTGAAGAGCTTTGCCGTTGAAATCACACGTGATGTTTCTGATGTTTCTCACTAAGCATACAATTTCTGCAAGATGATGTGAGAGAGTGCAGTGCATTTCTGTTATCCGTCGAGTTTCAGACACGTCGCATCTCTCGAGTTAGTACTTTATTACTTTCTACGTATTTCATCGTATTTACATATATCTTCATACTACCTGTTATATACAAATATTACACATGTACTATAATATACAATAAATATTATAGATTATGCAAATTTGACCACAAATCGAATATTCGTTCATCAATCATTAAAACGTTTCTTTAGATTCTAATTATGAACAAATGTTTATGAACGCGAATTGAAATTAAAATTTGTTTTTTTTTTTTTAATATCGTGTTATAAGGAAATTCGTTAGATTTTTTTCTATGATAAATTCAATATTTCAATTCTTACGATAGGAGTTGCATGATCATTAACAATGTTGATGTACCTTTAGATAAACCGATACTTCATCGTCGGCATAGAATAATTCTATCATTCCTAGGAGATACAATTCACGGTAATTCATTCGCGTGTTATGCAACATAACGAGATACAATCGATAGATATGGATATGAAATGGGTCCATGTACCTATTTGTGACGGTAGCAAGGATTTGGTTGGATCGATAATTCCTTCACCTCTCTCTCTCTCTCTCTTTCTCTCTCTCTCTATCTCTATCCCTCTTTTACTCATACATATTTATACACATATATAGATTTTGCTTCTCTTTTGCACTTTTGTCACTCCCCCCTCCCTCTCTCTATCTTTCTCTCTACATATATATTTCTCTTTTAGTTTCTTTCACTCTCTCTTGCTTTCGTTTCATCATAGCACACATACATAAACACGTATATACACATCTTCATGATTCGTCCCCCTTTCCTTTCCTCTTGTCAGTGTATCTTCCAGTAATGGCCAGATTATCGGAGCCGAGGCGCCATCCAGTCTAGCCAAATAAAAGTTGGAAGTCGTCTCGTCGACATGAATTACGTTGGCTCTTTTAGGGGAAGAAGAGAGAGTTGTTGTAGGGTAGGAAAGAGAGGGTTGTTGATGATAACGGCTGACAATAAGATCACTCACTCGTCTCTTTCTCTGTTAAACTTTTATCCTAAGATTTGTGTAAACTAAGAACAATCCACAGTTGAGGCGTTTCCCTTGTCGAACTTTATTACTCCTTACGGGAGACATCTAACGTTGAGCATCTTTAATGTTAAATCGTGGGAAAAGAAATTGTCTAAAGAGGTTCGAAAAATAAAACACCAAAAAATACGACAGAAAGATATAGGTTTTTTATTGTGTAAGCATTTTCAATTCTAAGTGTTTACTTCTTCGGAATTTTTTCGAACACCCTTTAGGTGAATCTTAGGTTTCTTTTTTTTTTTCGTATCTAAAAATGTCGAAGTTATGGTGTTTGTATATATTTTTTATGATTGATATAACATAATTATAATAAGTTATTTTTGTAATATATTATATTATGTCAATTCAAATTTGTAGAATACAACACGGTACGGTAACAAAAATTTATTTTCTTTATAGAATTTTCTTTATAGAGAAAAAATAAAAGTAATATTTAAGGGGAAATATGATGAAATGAATTATAAAACAAAAAAATTGAGTAAGAAAATTTAATTATCCTTAGATAATTATGATCCCTTTTCGAATAAACGAGCTTTTATTAACGAGCTTCGCTAACTATATTCCATCCCTTCTCTCTCTCTCTCTCTCTCTCGCTTAAAAAGATATAAGGTGAAGACAAGAAAGCAACACCATATATAATATATCTCTCGCTAAACCACGCACGTAATACTGCAAAAGCAGTCTTTGTTTTTTCATAGTGTCGAGACCTTACGCTTTGGTTTAAACTCGTGTGAATCGTAAATTTTGTCGACGAGTTTGCAAAATTGTGGACGAGTCAGACGATACTAACTCTCGTACGAAACGTTTATTTTCTTCCTTGGTTTTGTAAATCTCACTTGAGTTTAAAGTATAAGACGTGTTTTCTCTTTCTTCTTCTTCTTCTTCTTCTTCTGCGTTACCGGTGTATATACACTCTTTTTATTTTTTTTTTCCTCTACCCAACCTTTTTTCCTTCCTTTTCTTGCCCATTTATCTTGACAATTTTTTCTCAACTTTCCCCATACCTACAAGATATACGTACTCTCAACGGGATTTATTACTCGTAATAAGTTATGTACAATGAGATAGCACACTCGTTTTCAACCCTCACCCACCCTTATCCTCTTCTACCCCCTCACAACTTCTACCACCTTCACCCTCATCCTCATACCCCATCCCTCAGGCCTCATAGATTCAATTACGAGCGAGTATTCGCATATGTAATTTGCTTTTATCGGTCCTCGAGAGATGCTAAAAGAGCTTTAGTTCAATTACAACGATTTATTACAAATAGTATCAGAGAGAGAGAGAGAGAGAGAGAGAGAGAAAGAGAGAGAGAGAGAGAGAGAGAGAGTATACGACGTGTTTTATGTGTACTTATTACGTTTAACGGTTACAACAGTGTCAGACTAAATACATAAATATTTTTTATTCCTTACTTTTTTCTTTTTTTTTTCTTTTTTTTTTTTTTACTTTAGTATTATGCACAATAACAATTCATTTATTTTATGAGACTCTTGGGAAAATAATGAGAAAGAGAGGGAAAGATGTATATATCTTTTTAATTTTATAACGATCAACTTGGTAGATATAGTTTATAAGATTAGAGAAAAGAGAAATATTTTCTATAATAGTAGGAAGGTATTAGAATGAGAGAGGGAGATAGAAAGAATATAGATATAATGATTTAATCAATCTATCAGTTGGCCATACTGATCTCTTTTGTTACATTCGTGGCTTGAGTAAATCTTACCACAACCTGGACTTTACAAACTTGTGTTTGTGATCTTTGTATTATTTGTGTATGTGTATGTTTGTGTATGAATCTGTGCGAAAACTCTCTTATAATCCTAAGCATTTGTCAGGACCTTCCTATTCTAGGTACTTTCATGCAACTATTAGAAAATAAATTTTCTTTTGTTATAGAGTTAGATTATAATTCTATTATTATACTGATTTTAGAATGATTAGATAATATTTGAAATATAGAGTTATATGACAATAATTATGATTATAATTTTTACGATAATCGTTAATCTGCGATAATGCAAATATTCAATTTAATTTTAATTTTAATTTTAATTAATATTACAATGAATACAAATTAATATATTATATTGTTTAAATATATATTTAAATAATAATTGAATTAGTATGAATGTTAAAATACGATAATATTCTTGATAAATGATTCCGTTAACATTCTATAAACATTGCAAAGAACTTTAATGAAATTTTTTGTTGCAAATGCAGGGCTTCTGGTTACCAATTTAAATGAATAGAAGAAAACACAAGAAGAAAAAGAAGAATAAGAAGAAGAAGAAGAAAAAGAAGAAGAGTCGTTTGAAAGTCCTGAGAAGAAAGTAAGTAAAGAGGTGTCCCTTCAATCCCTCGAGGATTATTGCTTCTTGTCGTCGAGAGTCTGTAAGTGGCCCGTCTATCAACTATGTCAAGATACCTCGATGAAAGATTCGTAGCAATTTTTCTTCCTTAGTCTACCTAGAAAACTAATGCATAACTTCTCTAGACAAGATATACTTCTGCAACATTTTATCGATTTCGAATTGTATGATGGATCGGATTTCATCGAATATGAAAGATACATTTTATTGTTGGTAAAATTGAAATATCGATTGAAAAAAAAAAGAAAAAAAGAAACAGTAATCCTTCAGGTATATATCGAAAATTATTAGGGAAAGTTAATTTCATTTTAATATTTAAATGTAACAATTAACGAATCGTTAGAAAACACCCCACCTTGGATTTTACAAAATACCTGAATAAATACTAAATGATTTTTTCAAAAAGATTTATTTAATATCATAATCGCACATAATCGGTATCGTTTTAGAAAATGAATAGACGAACGAAGGGGATGATTAATTTTCGATTATCGAGGAGAGAAAATAATAGAGGAGTACTATCATTGCTACGATGTTTCAGGACGAAGTACGGAGTTTGGCAGGAGCGCAAACTCGTTTTCAGCAGAGGACTCGCAGAGGGCGGCGGAGTTTGTTGGAAGGGGTGGAAGATGCCGCGAGCTAGAAACTAAAGAGTAGGGGAAATCGTCAGGATTGGCTTTACAGGAACGTGAAACTCAGTAGTACGCTACCACCCACGCACATAGTACGCACGTAGTTCGTTCCACGTGTTTATCTTCCTACGAAAGATTTCGAACATCCATAGGTGCATCATCGAATTGTTTTCGATCCTGGTGACTTTGTGCATTCGACAGTGTCAAGGACACATCGGGAAATTCATTGACTTAAATATCATAGAATGTAAACGATTACGGTTGGACAAATATCTGGTCCACAACCAAGAATACGAAGAAGGAATAGGAAAAAGCTGATCTTATGTGAAATATTCCAAAAAAAAAAAGTAAGATTATTATTTAAATACGAATGATAGGTCTGTCAGACTTTTTTTTTGTAATAATAATAGACAGAAAGTTGAAAATTTGGTGTCTCGTATTTGAAATATTACACGGATTAGAATTCATTTTATTTTGTGTTGATTTATTGTTTTCTCGTTTAACAATTAGCAATGTTAAAAACAAATTATTTACATATATTTATTTAAACTTTGATTAGCATTAGCATTTGCATTAATAAATTTATCGAAGTATAATTATAATTCGATTTGTCATGTGAACGAATTCATTGATGTAACATAAGAAAGCGGTGATGTAACGAAAGAAAGATAAGAGATTTCGATGGGTCAATCCCTTAAAGCTTATGTGTTTTTTTCTTTTTTTTTTTGATAAGAAACCGAGGAAAGTTGCGAAAATAGTTTTCCTTTTCTTTCCTTTTTCTTGTTCGTAAATGAATAGGGGAAAAGGTATCTTAGGATAATAAACTGAGGGCGGCATGTATCTTAAATGGTTTGGAGATGGTGCGTCTCGATAGGATCAGACGATAAAGGAGATGAATCGGGGTACTGATAAATCCCGATTAGAATACGAAGAATCTCTTTGTCATGCCGAAGTTTAAGATGAAGATATCTGCGATGGATTGTCAACGTGGAAGAACAACAGTTTCGATCAGCAGCTACTAAGTAACTGAACAAACCTTTGTCGATCTTAGATCTTTCGAGGACATCGTGGGAACGAACTCTGTTACGTGTTGCTATTATCGATCGTAAGTATTTAAACACACAAGTTATATATTATTTATTTATTTATTTTTATACATTTTTGTGTTTGCATATATTCGATCGATTGATATTATATTTATGTCGATAAATTTTGATCAAATTTTATTTTTGTTAATACGCTCGAATTAAATATTTTTTATTTATTTCGATACATTCCGTTTTTATGAATTGTTATTATATAAATGTTAATAATATTAAGTGTACAATTATAGTAATTATTCGAATAATATGTACCTATTAATTATATTGTTAATTCGATTGTTTCTAAACTACGTATACGTTATTTTAATAGTAATAGATTACTATGCCGTGTTTAAACTCGTAAGGTTTCGAGTTTGATAGCAATCGATTAGTTGAAACAATTTGAAGCTTTGTAAGTGTTACGCAAGGTTTACGAAATGAAATCATTGTACTATCGAATTCGTAGTAAAGCTCTCTATTATCATTTTATTAAAATAAATAAGATTTTATAATTGAGATCGAATAGTTAAAATCACAATACGCGTTATGAAATATTTTTTCACGCTTATTTCCGATATTAATAATATTTTTAATACGTATAATATAATTCCTCAAATATATATTGGAAATATTTCAACAGTTATTAAATTAGCATAAATATTCTAAATATATTTATAGATAGCCATATGCATAATTTTGATCGTACGATTTAAAACGATTATTTATCTTATATTTTTATTCTTTCTTTTCTTTTTGTTTTTGTTTTTCTTTTTTACTAGGAATATATTATCAGATAATAAAATGAGCGGAAAATAAAAGCAGCGACGTCGAAATGATATTTTCTATCTCTCTCTCTCTCTCTCTCTCTCGCTCTCTCTCTCTCTTTTTCTCTTTCTCTCATTCTCCCTCTCTCTTTCCTATCAGATCGATTTTCATTTATCTATAATGCGATTAATGTTATTTATTAATATATATGCTAAAGTAGGAGAGATTTATTAAATTATTTGATCGATATAATACATTCGAGAAAAATTAAAAAATAGAGAATTGAAATAAGTTGATAATATCGATAATAAAAATAGACAATCTGAAGAAAAAGAAGAAGAGGAGGAGGAAGAGACAAGTAAAGTTTGTTGAAAACTTATAAACGTAAAAATTGTCTCGATAAAACATATATAGAAGAAATAAAATAGAAATAAAGAGAGAAAAAAAGAGAGACAGAGAGAGAGATGGAAAAAGTTGTTCCTCTTTTTTTTTTTTCTTTTTTTAAAGAATAGAAAAGTGTATATTACAGTAACGATGATAAAATAGATGAAATAGCTAATATGAATGTAAATACATTTTCCTTTGGAGTTAACGTTACTTCGTTTAAATAGTAAATGAACTTTGTAGAGAGATAGAGTGAGAAAGAGAGAGAGGGGAGAGGGTGGGACACAAAGGTTCTTTGCATTTTACTTGCTTTTACACACTACACACTACAGACTACAGACTACAGACTATGTCGATCGCATTCCCAAGCATGCTTGAAATTTCGATGCGTTTGTGGTTGCTCGGTATCCAGGAATATTATTGCGAAGGTTCCTTCTATCGGTCGTCTAAGAATTTCAAAGAGGAAAGTGAAGGAAACGAAAGAAAACGAAATAAAAGTATAAGTATAAGAGAGAGAGAGAGAGAGAGAGAAAGAGTGCGAGAAGGGGGATGATAGGGGTTGAGTTTCTTTCTCACACGTTGGAGAAAACAGTTGTTGGGTAAAAAGAACGAGGAGGAATGTCAGGAACAGAATTCAATCGCGGAAAGAGAGAGAGGGAGAGAGAGAGAGAGAGAGAGAAAATTTGCAAAGATGATGAGCCGATTTTCTCGATATTTTTTTTCTTCTTTTTCTTTTTTATTATTATTATTTTTGTTTCCCCTCCTAAACATTTTTTCCCGATGTTCATCCTTAGGGAATGAACTGGAAGAGAAAGAAACTTTAACCTATAAAGGTAGAGGATAAAAAGGAAGCTGTGCTAGCTTTTTGGATATGCTTGTTTGCATGAGAAAAAGAGAGAGAGAGAGAGAGAGAGAGGGATAAAAGGACATTTTATATTTTTGAAGAAGTAAAAGAAGAAGCAGAGAGAGAGAGAGAGGGGAAGTTTAGTAGGAAAATATATAAACGATGTAATAAAAATTCCATACAGCTAGGCTTTTCTTCCTTTTTTTTTTTTTTCCACATTTTGAAAGCCATATCGATGATGATATGGCAGATTTTTCGATTACGCGATAATCATAAAAAAAAAAAAAAAAAAAAAAAAGAGGAAAGAAAAGAAAATATTGTAAGGGAAGAAAAATGCGTTTGTCCATTGTGATATTTTTATATGAAAGTCGCGTTAATATATTATATGTGGTAAAATATTTTTTACCATACACACAAGGAGGATAAAAATATTCAGATTGTTTCAAAAATTATTTTACCGAAATAAGAAGAAGAAGAATATGAAAATGCTAGTTTATTGAAAAATAAAAAAGAACAATTAAGTATAATAATTAAATATTTTAATTACAAGATATAAATTTCCAGTTGCAATATAGTAAAATATGTTTTGGGGTTGGGGACTCGCGATGGTGATATATTTCAAAAATACCAGCCAAAAAAGAATTTCTTTTCTTTTTTTTGAATACGCGGTGAAACGACTTTTAGGACACTCTTGTATACGTGTATTATACACGTATATATAGGAGTTATTTTTTCATCAGATATAAAAAGGAACAGGTCGAACACAAAGACGAATGATTTTCTATGGTAGCGAAATAGCGATTGGTTTATGAAAAAAATGTGAAAGGGTGAGGATGTTGTATGAAATCTTGCAAGGTTGGAGAGGATGATTATGGATTTCTCTTTTTTTTTCTTTTTTTTTTTCTTTTTTTTACGACCTTACCAATATTAGAACATACATACATGTATACGTGTGTGTATCGAAAAAATCGTGTTCGATAAATTTTTGTCGTCGAAGATGCGGTCGCATCGTTTAAACCAAAACACTGGCACCGTGTGTGTTATCAAATTGCGTGTATCTTTTCTCTCTTGAGTGAACTTTTATGATGTGAAAGAGAAAAAGAGAGAGAAAGAAGATAAATAAAAAAAAAAGCAAAAAGAAAAGTAGCACATTAGCTTATCTTTTAGTTATCAGGGATTTTTTAGACAGACCCTGACGTTGGTTTTGTTTATAGCCATTTTCCTATACTTACGTACTTTTAAATATGTTTACTTTAATTAATTTGTATTTTTTTAAGATCATTTTTGTCATTCTTTCACTTTTTTCGTTTATGTGCTTTTAAGTTTTTTTTTTTTTGTTATTTTATACGGATCACGTTTTGCAGGTTTTATTTTATTCGCATTTGGTATTCAACAGTGACGTAGTATTATTCTATTCTTTTTCTTGTTCTTTCTTGTATTCTCATTTTCTTTTCTTTTTCTTTAGAATAAAAATGCGAGATCGAGGAACTAGACTCGGTCGTCCTGCTTTTAGAAAATCAATGTTGTCAGAGTACGTGGACCGTGGGAGTTTGTCGATAGAACGTCGTTTTCGGATGAAACAATATGACTAGAATGACAGATATCCAAAAGGAAAATATTTGTTTGTATATGTGGTTTGTAAGTGTAATTGTGAATTTGTATCTTTACGAAAGAATCAGTATTTCTTTAATGTTCATCAAATCTAGTCGACTAGTTCAATAATTTCGAATAACGATCAAAGTTTTTTTCATACCAATTGTATAGGTTGAGTCAATAATTATTATTCAATCAAATATTTCGTGACATTTAACGATTTTTTTTCAAAAGTAAATCTCTTATGCTTAATTTTATTCTTTAATTATGTCAATAATAAACAACACATATAATATATTTCATTAATATCTAAATATGCAGATTGTTTAATAGAAATATTTTGTTATTACAAATTTTTGTCGATACAAATAAATGAATTTTTGGTATATATACCGTAATATAACATTGAAACCATTTATCTGGATTTAAAGAAAATTCTTGGAGTTAGATCAACGATTTAGATTTGTTTTTCGTTAGGGATCTTTTCTGAAGTTTATCCCAGTTGGAATAGAAAGGTTTGTCGTGTCGAAGAGCATCCGTTACATACACGTCAAAAGTATACCCACACATGACGGATGGCAAAACGTTCAATCGTATATAAAGAAGAAACAAACATTGATTTATGGCTTGAAAATTCTTCCTTGATTTATAGCCTCGTACCAGTAACATCAGCATCAGCATCAGCAACCCCAACTGTAAACTGCAACTGTAACTGCAATGACACGTTGGATATCCACCACGTAACTTTATATTCTATAATATAATATATAATATATAAAAAAAAAAACAAAAGAGAGAGAGAGAGAGAGAAAAAAAAACACTACACAACTTTTCTATTCGTTCTTCCTTTTCTGATAACGCGTCAATCATCGAATGTCGTTTGCATTCATATTCGATTTCAACTCGATATTCGGGGACCTTTGCCAGCCATATAAATTTCTCATAAATTCTTCTTCTTTTTCCTAAATTTCTATAAAAAATTCGTTTCATTTTTATTTATATAATATTTTTTTCTCTCTCTCTCTCTCTCTTTATACACACACATATAATATAAAAATATATAGAAAATTTTTATTTATCTCCCTATACACATTACAATTTATTTAGAGATTACTTGGGTATATTTTTGATACACTACGAGTAGTATAGTACTTTTTTTTCAATCTCCCCACCTCCCTTTTCATTTTGATACGTTGCAATTCATATAAAGAATTTTATTCGAAGGATATACTTTTCACGTAAACGAGTTTAAGAGAGATTTCATTTTATTTTATTTTTTTCTATGCCCGATGGGTTAAAAATTCGTGTAAGGATTGCTACGATATATATATTTCGGATTTAAATAAAGTATGATTTAGTTTATACTTTATTAGATTATGTCATTCTTACGTGCTGTAGAGTGTCGTATAGAAATAGCAAGGATATATTTTTGATGTACATAAGTAGGTCATCAATTGATACGTCATGGATAGTATCGTATTGATAACGGTATAGTCTACTGAGAAGATTTCTTGATGTTTCTTGTTAGCGAATAGGAAACGTATAAGGAATCTAATAACCATTCGTATTTTTCACTTGAATGCTTCTTTCAGAAATCGAATCTAACGCAATATGCATTTTATCTATTTCCGTTTCTTTCTATTTTCTATCCTACCCATCCCCCTATTTTATTATCAAAATTATGTACCTATATAAAGATGGTATAAAAATTTGTCTATTTTATTTTATTTTATTTTATTTTATCGAAAAGTCAATAGACTCTTTAGTATCGTACTTCGTTATGATTATTATTATCATCGTCATCATTAAAATTTATGAATGTAAAAAAGCAAAAAAAAAAGAAAACTAAAAACGTCCTACATTAAATGTATTTCAATCGATTATGCCTGCACAAATTTTTTATATCTAATTTGATAAAGTTACACTCGGACAGGTTGCATGTAATCTTTTTATCGTATCGCGATGGAACATTCAATGACCATTTATGAGGATCAATTTGAGAGAAAGAGAATATCCAGGACCATTAGCCGTGTTTTACGTGTTCGACGATTTAATATAGTCGCCCTATTCCTATCGTTCCGATCGATAAAGGTCATAGTTATTAAAATTCTTTTTTTGTTCTTTTCCTGTCTCTCTCTCTCTTTCTCTCTTCTTCTTTTTCTTCTTCTTATTTTCGATTAAAGTCTAGATTTGTTTTGCGTGATATACAAAACATACAAAAATAAGAGATAAAACTTATATTATCGAACGCGAGGGTTGAAAAATAAAAAGGAAAAGGTACGAGACACGTGCCAATACGTCTTGTGTTTATTTTGCATTATGTGTTTGCATGTCAAGAGATCAATAAAAAAAAAAAAAATAAACAACGATTGCATTCATTTTATTGGAACGATATTTGTTATATTCGTCGATTGGTTTTAAGTAGATTTTAATATTTTTAAATTACGATTATATAGGAAATTCAATTTAAAATCATAATTGCGATTGATAATCCTTTTTTCCTTTTTCTTTTTAACATATTATCTTTAGGTAAAATACATTTTTCACGGTGTTAAATCGAAAATAGAGAAAAAAAAAAAAAGGAAAAATTGTCAAAAGAATCGCAGAAAAATGGACATTTTTTTACGTCGTTGGGTTATCGCGACGACGGGTTATCGATTTCGTTGAAGTTCCTTTTATGAATCTCTTTCTCTATTTTTCAATGGTCCTTTGGTTTACTTTATTTTATTTTATTTTATTTTATATCTCTAAAATAAAATCATCATATTTTTTCAGACTAAATTTATTTTTTTTTTGATAGAACGAATTCTATTTAAGATGAAGTTAACGTATAATTATTCGAAGTATTATTGATCATTTACATTTGTTTTCTATAGAAAATGAGAGAAAAGTACATTTGGAATACTAATTTTGTGAACAATTAGTGCAATTAGAACAGTTTCAACAGTTTCTATTGAAAATTTATAAGTAGTCTTGAGAGGTATATTATTAGCATATTATACACATATATATTACTACTACTACTGTTACTATTATTATTAAACTTTAATCAAATCTACGATAGATGAATTAATCGCATTTACGTTTGGATATTTCGAATGTGCTTTAATATATTTTCTAATAATTATTTATGCGAGTATTTTAATTGGATTTTGCAAAGAACAATAATTACTATAATTAATTAATTAATTAATTAAGTAATTAGTTAATTAATTAATTAATAGTGATCAAATAAATCATTTATGTATATAGAAAATCGTTAAGAATTATTTTATCACTTTAAAAGATAGAAGATGATTTAAGTGAATCTACTTTATTTAATATTTTATCAAAAATTTATTATCAAATATACAAGGTGTTTCGTTACTAGCAACCCATATACGGGTTTTCTATGCAAAAGCTTCGTATGAACTATTTATAGGAGTCGTATCATGCAAAGATACGTACGAAATATGGTTAAAATTCATATAAATCTTCTATATATATATATATAATACTATTATTTTAATTAAATTATTTATATTAATAAAATAATTTACGAACACATATATACAAAAGCGCTTAAGGTAGATTTATTTTAATTGCGATTAAGAATGCCAACAAAAATGTAATAATTTTTAATTAGATTTCTGTTGTGCAAAAAACTTACGCGTTTTCGCGTCCGCGTTTTAAGAAAAAAAAAAAAAAAATAATATATTTCAGTTAAAAGAATATTTGTTAAAAGTAAATGGATTAAAATGCCGCCGCGTAATAAAAGTAGTTGTTGGAAAAGATTTGATTCATTAAATAGAGTACATATACCGTAGTCCAGGGAGAATTGTTTTGACGGCTCTAAGTTAAAAAGGGAAAACACTTCGTCGGGTCTCTTTGGTTCGGAAAATAAAGGAACGAATACAAAGGTGGAAGCAAGAAAAAAGAATAAAGAAACGAAGATGTAAGGTATGATAGGGGGAAAAGGAACGGGAAAAAAAACAAACTTAGAGAAATAGAAGAATGAAAAAGGGTTGGGGGTGGAAGGTAAAAAGGGAAGGAAAAATTATAAGAGAAACTAACTTTGCTAAAGAAAAAACAAAATATATAAAATAATAGATAAGAAATGGATGAAGAAACAATTAATTTACGTTTCCTTTCTTGCTCGCAGTTACGTGGATTTTACATTTGTATATGCGTATGTGTGTATGTTAAAGGGTAGGCTAAAAGTTTTTAAACGCTTTTACAAATTCATTGTTTATTTTGTTTATTTTTTCTTTTTTTCTTTTTTTTTTCTTTTGCAATTCTACTACAATCGAGCATGTAATTTACAATTTAAAGGAAAGAATGGTGTAATAGATAATAGATTGTGAAAAGCGTACCGAGTAACTTTTTTTCGTTTATCCCTTTTATTTGGTTTTCTCAGGAGAGAAAAGTTAGATACGTTTTACAACGAATTTTCAAGAGTAAACCGTGCGAAAAGTTTTACCCGAGGTTGTGCCGAGGATGAAGTAGTAATAGTATTTACTCATTGAAAGGATTTTTTAAATCATCTCGATTAGGCTAAATCGATTATCGCTAAGGCTACCGCGTTTAAATTATCAAATTATATTCTATCTTTTTTTTTTATCATGTTTACTTAAACAACACACATATTTTCATTTAAAATAAAATGTGTGTGTGTGTGACAATTGAAAAAAAAAAAAAAATATATAACAACATAATTAATTAATTAAAAATTAACCAAACAATAATTAGCAAAGTACAATAATATTAATAATTTTAAGAATATTTCAACGATGGATCGATTATACAAAATTTTCACATGAAAAGAACAACAAAAAATTTTTCATTCAAAGAAAAAAAAAAGAATGGAAAGTGAGAAAAATTTATCGCAAAGATTTCGAATAAAATTTCAAGATTTGAGGTACTACGGGATTGTTAAAATATGTATGTATGTGCATTCTCACGAGTAGAGACGTACGAAGACAGCAGCAGCAGCATCTCATCTAACTGCTGATGCTGCTGTTGGCAGTGATGTTGGGGTGGTGTTAGAGATGTTGGTGGTGTTGGTACTTAGATAGGAATGGAGGAAGCACATCGATCCCAAAGAAGGAAATGTTAGAATGGACCTTCCATATTGTCTGCTGCTAGTAATAGACGATGTGGAAGCGGCTTGAAATTGAATAGTATGTTCCTACTTCGTGTGCACAGTTGCGAAACCATTGTGCATAAAGTATCATCATCTTTCTCACAGATAAGATGATATATTTATTCTCTGACAAATGAATGGATTTACGAATGAGTCGTCTCATCCTAAAATGACTATTATTTATTATCCTAATTTTTTGCATATTATTTCGACAAACGCGTTCCTATTATTTTCATGGATTTTTTAAGATTTTTCTTTTTTTTTTAATTATTTTTCTGAATATTATATGTATATAGATTTTATTTCGTGACTTATCACTATCGTCATAATTTAAAATAATGCACGTTCGTTATCGTAATTTTTCATTTCATTGAAGAAATATGTGCAACTATTTGAATTGGTTTTTAGAATTTTTTTCTTTCCATCTTCCTTTTTTCTGCATTTCTTTTTCTTTTTTTTCTTTTTTGAAAGGTATCTCGAATCATACAAAATATTTATCCAGTGACGTCTAGATAAAAATAAATATTTATTATTTGCGAATGGTAATTTCCATTGAGAGAATACGTACGAGGAACGTTTCTTTTTTCTTTTTTTTTTTCACTTTTTTTAATCGATTTCAATGTTTTATATGTCGATTTACTCGTTTATTTTTGTTTTCTCTGCATCTTTTAACTCGATGGTAGTATTATTTGTTTCGTAATAAAAAAAAAAAAATGAACGAATGACGTCATGATACTAACAAATATTTATATTATCGTCGGTTTTAATTACATCGAGCGAACACGTACGAAAATTTCAATCGATTTAACAAAAGAAACAAATAGAGTGTGCGTTTATTAATCATACTTTGTATCCTAGAACGAATTTTTCAGATAATTAATATGTTTTTTTTATTTCTTTTTTTACAGACAGAACTATGTCGACGATGAACATTCGTGGCGGTGATTTAAGTCCAACTCGACAACCGAGGTAAAAAACAAAAACAAAAAAAACAACACAATTTGACGTAGATTTATATTTTTATTTATTTTATTTAATTATCGTTGGGAAAAATATTCCCAATAATTTTCTTTTGGTTGTTCGTGAACTTGAAAGAAAAATTTAATCAGTTAGTTTGAAGAGCAAAAATACGAGTAGTAAAACTAATTAAATCGTCGGATTATATTAATTCGAAACTTAACTTTTAAAGGAAGAATGCATTTATGAAAAAAAAAAGTAATAATTGTTTTTGAAATCATAATCATCCCTGGATTTCAATTAAGTTCTCTATAAAATGTACAAACGAGAATATTTCATTTCTAAGTAATTTCATTTTTTTTTTGTAGAAAAGATGAATTTATCTTGATTATGTTTATTTCAATCTAAGGATTATTATTTTATTACGGACCCGCGTGTTTTATTTCTTCTTTATGAAATATTATGCAATTGATTATTATATTTATTACGATCATCGTTATGACGATTGTTACGGTTCAAGCTGAATTTACGAATTTATTTTATAGAATACCAACCTTCGTTTAGATGCACCTGAGTCAGCTATTATTTTATCCTTTAATCGTTTTAAGTTTGAAAGGCTTAAAATAAATGTTTAGGATTATTAGATCCAATTTATAGTAACGTACAAATTTTAATAGAATTTTATTTATTAAGAAAAATAAACAAAAAATATATGTTTATATAGTTAATATATTAATTTATTATTTATAATATCAAAATATATTTTTTATGTTGCGTAATTCGTTGAAATTATTGAATTTTTTAATATAAATTCTTTTGTTGGAATTTTATTTTCAATAAAATTTCAAATTATTTTTTGGATTCAATGTAGAAGATAACTTAAAAGTAGAATTTGTTAATTATAAAATTATTTATTTGGAATTTGTGTGAATTATGTATTTGAGAATATTAATAATTCAATTTGTGATATATAGAATATATTTACGTCAGCATTTTGTATTCGAGAACTGTATATTTGTATAATAGATAATATGATAGCTTTCGTTCATTAAAATATGCATCTATACTTCCTGACTAATGAAGAAAGATGAGCAATTTAGTACAATAGACTTGTTATATTTAGATCAACTTCGTATGATTAACATAATTTATCTTCTTTACATCAAATTCAATGATTTATTAACAATATGCTAAATACATTTAATACAACAAACAACAGTCGAATAATTTTACAAAAATATATTATCTATATAAAATATTTCTAAAATATTTAATATAAATTTTTAAACTATAATCAATGTGTGAAAAAATTGTTCTGAATTATTAAACCAAATTTCTTAAAAACATTCAAACTTACAAATTTGTATACATCAGAGATTTGAAATAAATAGAGAAATATTTTTGAAAAATTTACATAAGAAAAATTATATACCATTTAAAGCGGAATGAAAAGTCTTTAGAAGATATAAATCCTTTCTATTCAATATTTAAAGTAATATACTTTTAAAATCGATCCTTTGTCAGTCATGAGATAGAATAGCGAATGAATTTCGAGTAGCTTGCAAGGAAGCATTCATGGGCTTCCAAGAATTGAAGTTTGTCGGTTGGTAAACAGTCTTCGAATTAAGATGCAACGAACATTAAGGGTGAGTAAGAACGAGAGAAGATGCTGATGCATATGAAATGGATATTCAGAATACGTAGACTTTCATCCAAGAGATTTTACGCATCCTTTTATGAGTTCACTGGTGTGTTCATATTTAATCTGAGCTTATTCGTTCATTCATCACTGTCTATTAATATTTCTTGCTTATTTTCTTAAAATAGATATAAACTACATCTTCTTTTTCTAATTTATTTTTGTCAGATGATAATTAATTATCAATTGGAAGTAACTAACGTTCAATCAATTTTTGTAATTATTTTTATTTAATTTGGGATACGTATTACAGAAGAACACACATCATTTTCTTATTTATTTTAATTGAAAATAAACAAAAATATATTATCATTGAATTATCAATTATTTCTCAAATTATATTTCACCTTTTCAATTTCTAATATTCCAAACTCGAAAACGTCGATAGCAGTAGTAGTTCGTTGAGTGGTTCAATCTGTTTCTAACACTTATGCCGAAGCTTCAGCAAATCCTATAACTTTGGTCGACGTTAATAAGAACTCTTTAGCTTTTGCAGATTTTACATGTGCATTACGTTAGAAGATAATAACGGAAGAGAAGTTAAATTAATAATAACCATTGTCAAGGAGCTTAAGATTTTACGTCTGCAAAGAGGATATCTGTGTGTGTAAAAAAAAAAAAAAAATGATAAATTATAATCTTCCAATCCATGCTAATAATTTATTTATCTAACAGCATGTTAATGAAAATCGAAAATGATGGATTATTTATAAAAAGCACATTTTTTCTTTTATTCCAGACAAAGTAGAATTCATAGCGTCGGATTACCACCACGAGCATCTCTACTTCCGGAACCACCACCTACCAATGAAAATAATATGCCACCACCTATACCGCGTCGTCATTCGGCGACACCAACGGTAATCATTTTTATTTCATAGATATCCGAATTATAAGAAATATATCAAAACGTAAAAAAACGTGTAGCATCATATAACAAAAGAAATATAATTTTGTAATCAATTGTTTTGTTTTTTATTAACAGAAACTATTTTGGATGTGTGCATAATTATTCTATCAGTTCGTCATCACACACACACATACATTTACACAAGTCACAATATAACACATGTGCAATCTGGGTGTATACATCTACAAGCACGCATACAGTTATAACATTCTTCGAAATACTACACAGCAAGTATACGATGTTACCTTTCATTTATTTGAACACGTTCCTTGCCACGTTGAAATTCATTTCTACGTTAAATGAATATATAACATGTAACATGAATTATGAATGAAACTATAACATGAAACTATAACGTTAAAACTATGAATATGAGAAAAATATTTAAAATAAATATTATTTATATAATTATATTTTTTTCTTACATACGTACTCTTGCATTGCAATTGGTTTAATTACGTTATTTTTAAATAGTTTTATAATATATTTTTGTCATTAATAATTAAATATATTCGTACGTTATATCGTCGAAATGATTTTTATCGAAATATTTACGAACACCCCAACGAATAAATTAAACGTAATAAAAAGAAATGTGTGGATGTGTTTTGAGTTTAGGTAGCACCACCTCCGATACCAATACGTCCACCAGCAATACCAAAAAGATCGAAAAACGAAAAACCAATACCAATTGAAAAATCAAAGAATAACAGATGCGAGAACACGTCGACGTATAAAGGGAAAAAAATCATCGATCCAACTACGACATCATCGTCATTATCATCGTCACAAGCTGCTTGTCATTTTACGAATTCTTCTTGGAACGGACAAACGGTCCTGATCGATGAGAAATTGATAGACCTTGGACCATTTAGAACGCATAATAACCATCACCAACCATCCGAGGATTTCTCTTTGGCTTTTGAATCGAAGGACATAGCAAGCGCCAATGAGAATAGCAGCAACTTCATAGCCAACTTTCCTAAAGTCAATTTTTCGGATGAGGAAAAGCTTGAGAATCGAAAATCAAACTTCGATGAACTTAGAAAAGCTTCCCGTGATCTTGAGAAGAACCTTCACGAAAGGACTATCAAGAATAACGAAACTAATTTTAATGATATTTTAAATGAAAAAGAAGAGAATAGACAACAACAAAATGTTCAAAATCAAAGTACCAGGTAAATGGAAATATTTTATTTCAATATTTTATTCTACGATAAAATATATAGTGAGAACTCTCTCTCTCTCTCTCTTTTTTGTGTGTGAACTAAAAATATTCACATTTTATTTTTTTTATAAAACAATAGATATACTCTTTTTGGGAATGATTTTCAATTAATTTTCTAAATTTTATGACCTTAACAAATGGTCATCATTTTGTCCTTTCTAAAGTTTACTGCTCCATCACTTTTCGCAATGGTCTTGACAACTTTTAGCCCCATCCTATACGCGAGGGTGACTTATTTTCCGCAAGAAAATAATTAAAAAAATTTCGCAAATTAGTTTTTAATCAAATTCATTTTGAATTGTCGAGTCGAGTTGAGAGTAGATTAAAGTTTTGAAGATTATTTTGAAAAAGGAAAAAAAACAAAAAGAAAATTGAACTATCTCTTATCTACTTATAGTTCTTTAAGAAATGTTTAAAGTGCATAGTGGTAATTTACCCTAACAACGTTGAGTCTACTTGATTCGATGGCAATGAGCTTTCCGTTCGAAGATACTTCATTCGAATTAAATTGAAATCATCTAGAATTCTGGACGGTTGCACTTGTAAGAGGTTCGTCAAAACCGACCGTAAGTTTCGTGCTCCATCTTGATAAAGTATTTGATTAACTCGCTTATACGAGTGCTACTCTTAACATGAAGAATTTTAATCAACATTTAACCTATTTAATCGATCAATCTCGTTTGTAACGATTCATTACATTTTTTTTTTTCAATTATTTTATCAAGAGAATAAATGTAATATTTATTTTTTATGCGAGTTAACATTAGAAAACACAATTTTGATAATTTAATATTAAAAAATGAATATCTTGGTAATGAATTGAAAATGATTGAATATTTTTGGCTCGCTCAGACAACAACCAGGAGGAGGAGGAGGAGGAGGAAAGTTTCGTAAAGAAGAGAAAAGCATCGAGGGAAGAAGTGTCGAAGAGGAAACACTGGAGGAAATATCTGAAGAAGAAATGTCTGAGTCTCCTCGAGACACTTTTCAGGAGGAACAAAAGTTCGTCGGACTGGTTAGATCGTATCGAGAAGAAGAGAAAAGATCGAAGTTTGAGGAACTTCAAGCAGCTTCGAAAAATCTCGAAAGGCGTCTACAGAGTAAGAACGAGGAGGATGATCAACGTCGTTACAAAGACATGGAAAGACGTTTGAATAAAGATAGATCAATATCTAGGTAAACTTTTTATCACATTCGCGTGTCTAATAAAAGACATTTCCAAATTTTCTATATACAAAAATATGTTTTTTTCTATCGAGAGAGATACATTTATTAAAATATGAAATATTAAAAATTTTATTTGTTTTTGTTTCTGTTCTTATTTTTTTTTATTTATTTATTTAATCAAATGATCAAACAGATACGAAGATCCTTCGAGATTACCGCAAGAATTGGAAAGACGATTGTTGTCCGATCAAAAATCCGTCATAGATCAATCCACGCGTGCCAAATATGACAATGATATGGAAAAGGCTAGAAATATGTTACAACATAATACGAGAAAGGAAAGATCAAGTGGTATAGAAAAATTAGAAAAATTACCTAAAGCTACGCAAACTAATTTACCACCACCACTTAGTGCGATTTGTCAAAGTTACGTGCCAAAACCAATCAACGTTAGACAAGATAGCAATGTTTCATCCGATAGTTTTAGTCAAACAAGTTCACCGAGTTATACCAACAAAACTATGGAAGCACCTTTGCTCCCACATAAATATGGAAAATTGCCAGGTAATTAAGAGATCGTATTAAATGCAATAATAATAGTTTGTTTCAATTATAATTGCAATGTACAATTGTCAAATTATTTTTATAGACAGAGCTTTGGTTCACGAACCTGACAATTCATCGGGTAGGCCAATAACTAAATCAACCAGCACACCTGCGAGCTTACAAACGATCGTTAGAACTCATGGTAGCAACAGCACGTCTTTGCATCATAAGGTAAGTTTTAGAAAATTTTAACTCTTATAAAAAAAAAAAAAAAAAACAAATATCACGTGTCAATGGATGTAATTTTACTTCAGCGAAATATATTTGCATATTTTGATTTGTTATTTTATAATTAAAATGCTTGTTTAATTGTTACTCATTGAAAATACAAATTTCACACCTTGAGTGTAAAAATAAAAAACAAAAAAAGGAACTATTGCAAGACAAAAAATATACAGTCAACGAATGCGTTGAAAAAAATGATCAATTATTACGAGGTTCAAAATTAAACTCGTTCAATTGAATGATGTTGTTTTTTTTTTAAACAAAACAAATGTATGTGGCATTTAACAAGCTTTCTCTTGCTCTCTCTCTCTCTCTCTCTCTCTCTCTAGAATTCTGAAAATAAAAACTTGACATTGCGATTCACGTGAACACTCTGGTGACTTGGTTAATGTTCCTGGTTAAATACTCGACACTATTGTGAGGCATTTAACATTTTCACGAGCAGAAGCTTGAAGTATTTGAACGATAAATTGTGAATCATTGGTTGGTCGGGGGAGGAGGGTTGAGTTGTGAAGTGTTAAAACGATGTCCATCTCGTAAATGTGACCATAATCGTTGTTAACGGTACTTTAATGTTCGAACTATAGTCTCGAGTATCCCACATAATTTATATTATACTTAATATGATTGAAATTTATCACACGTGTCTTATATATATGTATGTATGTTTCTGTTCTTATTTTTTTTAGATAATCAAGGACATGGCTAATCGTCATTACGTAACGAGAGGAAGATTCAGATACGTGCAATTACTGGCCAACGTTGTTGCTCTTTTAGCCATTGTTGCTGGATTAAATGCATATTATAAAAGTAAGATTACAATTTCACCTAATAAACAACAACATTTTTAACATTTTTTTTTAAATTAGAAATACGTTCACATCGAGATATTTGATAAGATTGTTTTATTAGATATTTACACGAATAATTACGATTTTTAAGTATACAATTTCAAGAGTTTTACGTGACCTAAATTTCGAGTATAATTGTTCAATAATCAATATAAACTTTTTCTTTTTCTTTTATTTCTTTTTTCTACGTAGATTCGATGATGCAATGAAGTATTGAGTCTATATTGTCAATAATTAAAAGATGTTAGTCAATTCTGCTGATATTCAAGGATTTAGGTTTCATTATAAGATTTTTGAAACCAATTTCTAGGATTAGTCGAATCGATCGTGCAATTTCGATGTGGAACGTATGATCTGCTTTGTGGTACTAAAAGATCAATAATATTCTCTCTCTCTCTCTCTCTCTCTCTCTCTCTCTCTCTCTCTCTATCTCTTTTAGTCTCTCCCTCTCTTCTTCTCTCTCTCTCTCTCTTTCTCTTCGTTTCACCTATATCTATTACGTGACTATTTCAAATACTAGTATAATGTTTACAGCAAACACAGGATTACATACTGTGTTTGTTTATACAGGAAAATATTCTCTGTTATTCTTATGTCACGATTTGTGTTTCTAATAAAATACTATAATACTATAAAGCATTCATATATATATACATGGAATCAATAATTTGATAGCATGATCATACGAAAATTATATATTTTTGGATTGGTATAAAGTTTCAAGATTATTTTTTATTGAATCCCATAAAATTAAACGTTTAAAAGAATTTTTGAATTATACCAATGTAATATTTAACATGATTTTAATTTGAAATTGTTTTTTTCTTTTTCTTTGGGAAAAATTTTACAGCGTATCCTGAAACTGCCATAAGATTCGAGAACAGAACGGTGTATACGAGTATAATGACGGTGACTGAACCTATGCGTTCGATAATGATACAGGAAGAAGAAGAAGAGAAGAATCCTGCACCTGGTATCTGTTTACCAGTGATAGTCAGCTTTTGTCAATATCACAAGGTAATTAAGAATCCACTAGTGTTTTGTCTACAGTATGAAACAGTTTCATTAAACAACTTAAATATTTACTTTCTTTATTGTTGTATTATAATGAAAGTTTTTTATTGAGATAACTATTTAATCTTCAGATATTATTTATATCACGTAAAATATTAATTATCTTAAAATGTTTCCAATACGATGGTAATTGCACGAATATCAGAAAATAAATATGTAATGTTATATAAGAAAAGTATCGGTGATCAAGACGTATCGTTTTTAAAAAAAATTATTATAGAAAATCAATTATACTTTTTCATTGTTACATGTGTCCCATGTGCAATTTGATTCTAGCAAGCTTTTTTTATAGAACAATAAATAAATCATATATTTGCGTGATCCAATGAAAATGGTTCACTCTGTATAAGGAAAGATAGATATTGTGGTACGACGTGCATTCGCATAATCAAGATTCCGAATAAGAAGAGATAGAGAGATGTATAAGATCATTCAACAACTAATTTCTCGAATGATTTCACTGTCGTGAATGGAAATAAATTGAAATTGGTCAAACGATCAAAGGGGTAAAAGTGGTCACGTAACACATACCTTCTATATTTCTTTTTTAATATTATTATTATTATTATTATTATTATTTTTGCTTGATTTTATTTTTTTTTCCTTCTTCGAAAGGTTTCGTCAAACCTTATGTTTATTTTTCTTTCAATTCGGAATAAAATCATCATTAAATAAGTTAATTAAGTCGAGAAGAAACATCGTGAGTAATTAGAAGTTAATCTAAACGTAATTGAAAAGTATCCCTTTTCTCTCTAACGTAATTTAAAGTGGCAGTGTGTCGGTGTGTTCTAAATGGAACCCGTAACCATCCTCTTTAATCGATCGCGACTGGTACAAGCAACGTCTTCCGACGGAATTCATTCGCAAGATTCCGGGGTTTCACGACGTGGCAAAGATATTGCACATCAAATTAATTAGTACTTTAGAAATATATCCTTTACGAATATTTCTAAACGCTAATTAAGTCGATATATTTGATCTTTAATTGTATCCAGGAATTATGCCAATTAGAATATTAATATGTCTTTCATATATTTCATTTCTTTTTTTTTTTAGAGGATTTATCTATCTATATGAGACATCTCATTATTTTTGCTAATTTAATTTTTTACAATTATTGTTTGAATACTCTTGTATGCGTGTGTATATGTGTGTGTGATAATTTCACATTTTTCACGTCCGAATAAATTGTTGACCCATTCAATATTCCTTTGTCCCATTCGAATTTTCTCGTTCCTCTTTCATTTGATTTTTACTCACAATTTTTCTTACAAATAATATTCAGAATACGCGTGCGCGTGCACGCGACGTCTTCGACGATAATTTAACATTTCCCTCGTTGGAATAAATTGTTCATGTCGTTTTTGCATCCTCCTTCTCCATTTTCTAATTCCTTCCTTTTTTTCTCTTCTTTTTTAGTCGACCCTTTTTCAAGTGTCACCTTTCGCTTAGTTATCTCTCTCTCTCTCTCTCTCTCTCTCTCTCGGAAAGCCTTCCTATTAAAAATTCATAAAACGACTCTCGCGTCATCCCTGTGCTACGTGAACGGGCAACTCGGCCGAATAATCGGCGAACTCTGCGAAAAAAAAAGGAAAGGGGGACAAAAAAAGGAAGAGGAAAAAAAGAAGAAGAAAAAAAACGACTGCTTTTAGGAACGGGATATTTACGCGGGACGTTTCGAAAGAGAAAAGTGAGAGAAAGAGAGAGAGAGAGAGAGAGAGAGTGAAAACTGGGAATTACTAGGGAATGCATGCGTGTATATATGCCACCTACAGCTGTACCCAAGCACACACTCAAATACTCGTGAATATATGTGTATGTGTGTATACGTCGATAGTACTGGATCGAATAAATCCCTACTAGTGTTTTAGCCCCTTCATTTTATTCCCTTTTTGTTGTAACTTCCCTTCCCTTCCCTTCCCTTCCCCCTCCACTCACCCTTCCAACCGTTTCCTTTGTTTTTCTTTTTTAATACTTTTTACTTTACGGTTTTCTGTTTCCCCCTTTCTTTTTTTTTTTTTTCCGGTTAAATATTTTGTTTTCACCGACCAACGGACCGCGACCATCGAACAATTATTTGCCCGTTGTAAACTTTGTTCGTTGGTAAATTACGAAACTCTCTCTCTCTCTCTCTCTCTCTCTCTCTCTTTGTTTTTCTTTCTTTGTTACATAGAATCGTTCGTATAATTTCGTTTTACAGATCCCTTATAACTTCACGGTCTTCCCAAATTACATGGGTAACTTTGGACAACGAGACGCCCAACAGGAATTGCAATTATATAACGCAGTAGTAGACGTAAGGTGTTACGAATTGGCAGCCCTATTTCTCTGCAGCATCTTTGTACCCAAATGTGGACCCCGTGGTCAGGTTGTTAGACCCTGTCGCAGTTTATGCTATGGTAAATATTGATTTATCTATCATTTTATATTATTTGTATTTAAAATGAAATCTAATGTTCAAATTGGAAAAAGAGAAAGCATGCCAGAATTTGTATTATTTGTTAATTGTAATTACATATTAACGCACGAATGATTCATTCGGAAGAAGATGGTATTGGATTTTTATAAATAAATCATTTCTTTTTCGTTTCATTTTTTTTTTTTTTCAATCATTATTTTACAGAAACTAAAAGACGATGCGGATTCTTTCTCGAGGTATTCGACTTGACACTTCCGGATTATCTCGACTGCGATCTATTTCCCGAAAATGGTAATCCGGATCTATGCGTGGGTCATTCCGAAGTGATCGAAACAAATTTGAAAGCTATGAAACCAGGTAAGCGTTAAAAAAAACAAAAGAAAAAATCAATTTAATTTTGAAAAATCGAAGTTAGGAGAAAATTGATTGACGCAACTCACGTTTCTTTTTTTTTTCTTTTTTTTTATATTATTTTTCTCCGATCTTTCTCCTTCTTCGGAAAACTTGTAATAATTAGTTCAAATATTTATTCAAACCTTTTCCTACCGTCAATAAAATCAGTGGTAGAAAAAAGCGAGAGAGAATTCACGATTAAGAGTTGGATAAGAGTTTGAGGATTAAAATAATCTTGACGGTACAGTCATCCGGTTTACGAGATTATAACGGCTCAAGTTTGAGAGCTTTTAACAAAATGGCGCATCCTCTACGGCAATTAGTTTCATCTATAAAATTTGTAAGATTACTATGATGCGATTATCGTAATTTTTTTTATTATTTTTTTTCAAATAAATACTAACGTCAATAAAATTTATACAATCACATTTTATCTTTTACAAAATTAAATGAAAGAATTTCTTATCGTACGTAAACTATTCCAAGTATTATATTTTCGGTATTAAAACTAATATAAATGCAATTTATTGTTAATAAATTATATATTGATTAATACGTTCATAGAATTTTTTTTACAATTCTAAATTAAAATTTGTGTAATTAAAATTGTTAATAATCATATTAATCTAATCACTGAAATAAAAATTGAATTAAAGTATTTTGAAATTTTTACAAACAAATTTTACAATAATTACAAATATTGATGAACTTTTATATACATTCACATAAATCTAATCATTTGAATGAAAGCTTGATATTAGAATAATAAATAATAGAAAATAGTTGAAAGTTTATTAACGTATCTTTGAGGTTTAAAAAGCTAACGTGGCCAAACTCGTACGCATAGTTAATGCAACAGGTGTGCCGAACGAGATCAATAACGTTTATAGTACGTTTTCATCTTAAAATCACGGCTTGTAACTATTTAATGAATTCTACTTGGTAACGCTTTTGCAGGGACCGAAATTGCTTTGCTATAGAGTGCATATACTTCCTCGCCACAGACAAAACCGATACCCACTGAGATTACACTTTCCTTCGTATAAATAGACAACGGTAACGTTTCGTAATTACTTTACTGAAAATCTCTAACCTACTCTAAAGAGAATTTACATTTAATAAGAGTTAAACGTTATCCTATACTATCATAGTCTTTTATATACGTCAATTTTATTCATGCATATATTTTACATACATTTTACAGAATTACATATATATTGGATCGTTCGAAAAGTTATTTCGTTTTTTATACTGACATTTAATTATTCGCGTTTACCGATACGCAACCACAAAATAAAAACCCTATAAACCTCAAAAATTATTTTCAATTCTAACAAAGGACAGTTCGTATTTTTGGTTTAAAACTTTTTCATATGCAATCTGTGCACAGTGCCAGTACGATTAAAGGTGTACGGTGTGGTGCATTATTTCATTCATTATTATTCTATTTATCTTCTGATAAATTTGTTTCTTTATATGAATTAAGATAGAAATAATAAAAGAGATGATAAAAATTAACACGTGATAAATGTTTGAAAATTCGTGCTTTTTATTCTTACATTAGGATAAAGATTTTCTGGTGGTGATTCGCGTACGAATCGCAATTGCTAAAGCAAACATTGCCGGGATTGAGAGGGGCAGGTATTGATCGAAAATAGTTAGGGGATGGTCTTTCACGTCGAATAATCGGCAAATCGGTGTTTTAGATCGACTCGCCTCAATAAACCGAGTCATTTGCGTCTACACTTAATTAAGGCTTTAAAGTGTGCCAGGACGACTATCAGAAGCTTGCCTATCATCGAGTTTCAGTAATTTCTCTCTCTCTCTTTCTCTCTCTCTTTCTCTACCACTCTTTTTCTGCAATTAATCCTTGCCTTCACTCTTCCTCCGCTCATCTACTTTTCACCCTCGTTTGATCAACCTTTCTTCCCTTTTTAAATTCACAAAGCAACCTAAATTCTTAATTTCTTTACTTTATTTATTTATTTTGTGTTTTATTTCAAGAGAACGCGACAACGATTTTTGAAGAAAAAAAAAAATATATATATATATACGCGGTGGTATATTTTAATATTAAGTTATTTAAAAATGTATTCTATATAAGTACACATCATAAAATATTATATATTTTTTCTTGTTCTTTTAAATTTTTCAACGCGAACTGAATTATATCTTTTTGTTTTTTTTTTGTATTTTTTTTTTTAAAAGATTAATAACGACGACGATTTTTGGAATAAACGTATTTACAGGATGGAACATTTAAATTGGTGTATTTAAAAATCTATATTCACAATTTTTTAAATACCAGACTCGAAGTATACTTGTAAAAATATTTATATACGTTGTTTGCAGAAATATACGCGTAAATACACAAGAGAGTTCATGGCACGATGATGGCTTTTGCAAACACATGTTGTTTCCTTTTACACGCACACGCATATACATTTATGCGTTACTGGTAGTAAAATAACACACCAGAGAAGACAGATTTTAAATTCATATTAAACTATCCCATAGTGGATTATATACGCTAGACAATGTTAACAGTTAGCACTGTTACGTCTAGAGTTGGTGGTTTTGTTTCTCCCTTACCTTCCCTTTCCTTCCCTTTTCCAAACCCTCTCCCTCCCACTTTCTGGCAACATGCAAATCGTGTCTCGGCAACATTTCAACTAATTATTTCAATTTAAACGTAGATTATGTTTTTATATATACAAAACACAAGTCCTGCGAGTGATAATTTACTTTTCACGCGACGTATAAATTAAATATAATGTGATAAAATAACAAATGAAGAAAAAAATAAAAAAAAAAAAAAAAACAAAAAGAAAGAAAGAGGATACAGGGGACGAGAGAAGAATTTCAAAGATCGGTGGAGGAGGAGGAGAGTAGGGGGGGAATGTTTTTATACGAACAGTGGTCGAGATTTAAAAATCGATAAAATACTACAAATATCTCTCTTTCCTCTTGTTTTATTTTTCTTTCTTTCTTTCTTTCATATTTATAAAAATGGAATTCGCGGTATTTTTTCTTTGTTTTTTTCTTTTTTTTTTTACCGAGCTAAACCCACACACATTGGCTTAATTTTCCATTCGTTTCTATATCTTTTCTATTATTATTATTTTCATATTTTTAATATTTTGTCCTCGTTGTTGTTTTGTCTCAACATTGTTTGTTTGCGTGTGTGTATTATAGTATGTACCAATGATTTTCAATGCGACATTAACCGATGCATACCGGTTGATTGGCGATGCGACGGTCATCTGGATTGTGCCGATCTCAGCGACGAGATTGGTTGCGGTGATTGCGGTTCGATTTCCTCCTTATCAAAGTTTAATAACACCCAAAGTAAAACTGATAAAAAGAAATTTGGGTTGTCGAAGAATAATCAATCAAAGGCTACTTTACATTGTGGCGAAAGAAGGTGCATGGAAGCTAGCCACATTTGCGACGGCGTCATGGATTGTCCATGGGGACAGGATGAACGTTATTGCGGTAAAAAAAAAAATATTTTACTTTTTTTTTTTTTAATTTAATGATTAAAAAAGAAAAAAATAATACAAAATGTGTTTAAGATCTTTCAAAATGAAAAGATCCATATTTTTATATATATATATATATATAATTTTGTTCGTTCGAATAAAAATTGAGCCGACAAAATGGCGAGCACGGGAAAATCGTCGATAAGGCATTATTTGTTCCTCTTATTCGTACGTTTTGAATTGGATTTTTTTTTTCTTTTTCGATTTAATTTCAATATAGTATGTATTTTTTTTTTCAATGATATTTTTAATTTGTTTCAGTGAAATTGAAAAAAAGAAATGGCGATATAGGCGAAGGATTACTCGAAGTTTATCACGCAGAAATGGGTAAATTTATGCCAGCGTGTATACCACCAAAGGAACACGTCACCGCCCAAGCTATTTGTTCCCTTCTAGGCTACACGTAAGACTTATCGACATTTATCATCCTCTTTTTCATAGATTTTCTTCATTCCTCTCTCAACACATTCCGTTAAAATAAAATATAATATTTTTTACATTATATTTTTTGCGTGTTAAATGGTTACAATTATTTGTTTCTTATGGTTATGATCATTTGGAACAAATTTTTACTTAGTTATACGAAGTAGAGGAAAATGATTGTATGCTTGAATTTTTATTTAAATTCGATAACGTCAATTATTAATCTTGACCGTTCGATATTTTTTGTTTTCCCTATTTCTTTTCTTTTTTTTTTTAGCGTAGCACTTTCATCGAATTTTTCTACGAAAGATAGCAACATGACTATGATTCAAACCTTCAATGAATCGAACCAATATCGGAGATTAACACCAAAGCGAAGTTTATTGAAAAAATTTCAAGCATGTATTAAAGAGGACGAGGATTATCCAACGGTAGAGCTCACTTGTTCGGAATACGGTGAATTTTGACAACAACATTTTTATTTTTCAATATATTTATTATAAAGAAATCAAATCATCCCATTTTTTTTTCTTTTTTTTTTTTTTTTTTTTTTTTTTTTTTTTTTTTTTAATTTTTTTGCCGAACAAATTGCAGCTTGCGGCAGGAGATTTCCACTTTACGGGAATTCAAACGTTAAAACTAGAATCGTCGGTGGCGTTGAATCCTCTCCGGGTGATTGGCCCTTCTTAGCAGCACTATTGGGTGGCCCAGAACAAATTTTTTACTGTGCCGGTGTACTCATTTCCGATCAATGGGTTTTAACCGCATCTCATTGCGTTGGAAAGTAAGCGAACTTGTTCTTAAAAATACAAAAATCAAATGTCTCATTTAAATTGATCATACATTTGCAAATATAAAATTTGGCGTGTAAATAAAAAAAAAAAAAAAGAAAAAAACAAAAAATATTTTTAGTCTTTCGGATGTTTCTGGTTGGACAATTCAATTAGGTATTACAAGAAGACACAGTCATACCTATCTTGGACAGAAATTAAAGATCAAGAGAGTGATTCGTCATCCTGATTACAGTTTGGGTATCGTTCATGACAACGACGTTGCATTATGTCAGGTATTTTTTGTAAATTTATATTTCTAAGAGTAGTGCAAAATTTTTGTTAAGAAAAAATTCAAATAATTTTCTGATATATTGATATCAACAGTTAGAGAAACGTGTCCAATTTCATGAACATTTAAGACCAGTGTGTCTACCCACTGCTACAACCAATCTTCCTCCAGCAACCCTGTGCACAGTCATTGGTTGGGGTAAGAAGAACGACACTCAGGGTAAGTCCTTTAACAAATAAACTTTTATCGTAGTAGAAAATAGTGAATCGATTGAGGGGCTTTAAAATCCAAATTGTTTTCTCGTAGAAATATAATCGAGTAAATAAGATCGTATTGCTTGGTAAATATTCGATTTGAAGTAAAGATGAAATGTTTATTTTTTTAATGAAGTTGATAAAATGATAAGACGATTAATTATAGATGCTGAATACGAACCAGCTGTTAACGAGGTACAAGTTCCTGTTTTGAGTAGACAGGTTTGTAACATGTGGTTGGCTTATAAGGAATTGAATGTAACCGAGGGCATGATTTGTGCTGGTTATCCTGACGGTGGGAAGGATGCTTGTCAGGTAAATTTATATAATAATATTTTAAGTTATTCTTAAAAATCTTTTTGTTTTTTTTTTTTTTTTGTGTGAAAAGATACTTCGAAACGCGAGTACTTTAAACAATTTTTTTTTTCTTTTCTTTGTAATATTATTACAGTTTTTATTATATTGAAATACATTAATATTTATTGTATTGCAATTTACTGGATTAAAATTTGTTCTATTGCAATACAATAAATTTTCTATCTTTATCACCGATGTAAGGATTATCATAAAATTTGATTAAAGGGCGATTCTGGAGGGCCCCTTTTATGTCAAGACAAAGATGACAAAGAGAAATGGTTTGTCGGTGGTATAGTAAGTTGGGGTATAAAGTGTGCCCAACCAAAATTACCAGGCGTCTACGCCTATGTACCGAAATACGTTCCATGGATTCGCAATGAAATGGCTAAATATTCTGACAAGAACGAGTCATAATGAGAACGTTTTCTCTTTCAGACGATATTAATGAATCATTCAAAGGAAGGAATTCTCTTTTGTAGAATGCTTCTTAGTACTCTGAAAATAACACGATAAATACTAAACACAAAAATATGAGAAATATATTCTCGAAGTAGCAAAGATGCCAAATACTGAGACAATAAAATCGTGGAATTAAATAAATCAAACAAATTCCCCTCTTAGATTGAATTTCTAAAGAAATATATTTGGTGACTATTTTATAAACGCATTACAACATTGTAATGTGTAATTAAAATGCAAGTCGTCTAATAATATTCTAACGTTGATTAATTCTACATAGGGAATTAAATTATATTAAAAAAAAAAAAAACAAGAGATAGATAATTTTTGCATTGGAAAAATTTTCGTAAGAAAAAAAAATCAAGAGATTACAGAATTCAAAAGTGAATACTACGTAGTATTTTACATGTCGTCGAAATTGTTAGAATGCTTATTTGTGTTTTGAAGCATTGTAAAACTATCTGACAATCGTTTTCTCGAGCTTCTTTCTTATACAGGATGATATATCCCACTTTAAACGATATTGAAAAGAATTATGGAACTTCATTTTTAAAAATAGAAAAGTCTCTCTCGTTCAAGTCATTTGTAGATTTGTCTCTTTCTGGGGTTACAGTGTATCCAATTTTTTACAGACGTTTTGAAAATTGTTATACGATACATTGTCCATAATTTAAGGGGATATCGATAAAAAGATATCGGGAAAATAGGAATTAGGGTTGCTAATTAATACTCTGACTCTATTTGAAATCTTATTTATAATAATGATGGTGATGATAGCAAAATTATGATTTTTAATTGAGGAGTGTTCATCCAAATGAGAATAACAAAAAAAAAGAAATGGGAGAAGAAGTTGCGGTATTGAATTAAAATAAATAAAAAAAAAAAAAAAGATAAAAAAATAAACAAATGAAATAATCGGAAACATATAATAGTCATTAAAATAGATTTTTCTTGTATAGTGAAAAAATCTATAAAGCTTATTGAATGAATGCGGATGACACGATGATGATGACGATGATGATGATGATTCCTCCTCCCATAAAAGTTGAAGTTCAGATAACGAGAGTTGCCATTTTTTAGAAGAAAAAAAAAAATAAAAAAAGTAAAAAAAGAAAATCAACGAGTACAGGATGATGTTGTACTTTTGGTATCGAGAGATTGAAATATTTAAATTAGTAAGATTTAAAATGAAGACAAGAAATATAATATATTCGCGCATCTAATGCGCATAAAAAAAAAAACAGAAAAAGAAAAAAAAAACATTTTCTATCGCTACCACCAACTTCTAACCTGTCCCGCGTATAGGAGGCCACCAAGTGGTCGAAATTAATAATCCTTTATAATGTGTGTACACGTGTGTGTAAGTGGGTTCGTGTGTTAGCAGCGTGCATGTGTGTTTGTTCGCTAGTACGTGCGGTTTTATTTCATATTTTTTTTCAATTTATATTTAATTTAATTTAATTTTTATTGTTAAGACATTGCCAATGAAAATTGATGAACGTAAAGATTGGGAAAAAAAATTGATTAATTATTGATAATTACTATCCATGTTTTGTTGCACATTAATACAAGAAAGAAAAGAAAAAAAAAGAAACTGTACTTTTATAAAAAAAAAAAAAAAAAAAAAAAAAAGAAAAAAAATTTTTATTCTTTCCTCCCTCCCTCTCTCCCACCCACTTTTTCATACATTTTCATTTGCGTCGTTATTCGTAAAAAAAAAAAGGAAAAATATTTTTAATGGCTAACACAATGCAAGTAGAGTATCGATCGTAAAAAAAAAAATTTGCATAAAATGCAGCATAGTAATTACAAAAAAAAGAAGAAGAGAAGCATAATGTTTAATGAATTTAAGATTTAATCGAACGGATGTGTGTTTGATGTGAATATGAGATATATTTAGGAGGAATGTATGCTAAAAAATATTACGTGTACGTGATCTCGTAGATATTTATAATATTAAGTATGCAGAAAAATGCTATAATTAATATAGATTTATAAATGAGCAGAATATCTCTGAAATTTTCTAACAATTCATTCGAAAAATATAGGAAAACAATAAAGATGGGATTTTATTTGAACGGATAGACAAATATAAAATAGTTTCGCATGATAATAAATGCTTAAAATACAAATTATTATTATATATGACAAATACTCACAACATCGAAAATTTGCATCGCATTATAAATTTGCTAATCATATTTATTCCTTTGAAGTATACAATAGTAAAGAAAAATTTTTTACGATCGTTTAAAGTAAAAGAGGAATTTTTTGAAAATAACAAAACAGATACTTACTGTTAATTTTATTCCAAAGTTTCCTTGCTAATCGTTAAAGTCATCATCTCTCTCGTATGTATGAGATATTAATATTATTAATAATAATGTTTCTATAATGTTGTGTGTAACACAACGATTGAATATATTCTTGTGAAGGATGAAAATTATAGTCGATAAAAATTAGGAAAAAAAAAATATATATATATATATTATAATTGAACGGCTTTTAAAATCGTGTATATAAATATTTAAATGCAATTGTTTAGTATAGGATAATAAGAATAATGTTGACTGAATTCTAGGGACAATAATTTGCACCAAGCACTTTTTTGATCTGCACCATAAAGAAACTAATAGTTTTTAAAACGAATATACTTTATAATAATATATTGTTTGTTATAAATGTAGGTCATAAAACAAACTTAGATTTTTTCTAAGTATATATTTAAAAAAAAATAATAAAAAGAAGAACAAGAAAAATAGTATTGTTGGTTGCTATAAAAAACACATTTGTTATTTTTTAGCTAATACTTATATATATATATTATTTTTAATTTTATTGCTTAACTGAAATAACATTTTTACAATCGTTATAAAATCTTATGAACAGATTGAAATTTTTCTAGCAAAATTAAAGCTTCTTTTTTATAATATTTTTTATTGGATACTAATTTGAACAATAATGAATTGTTTGACAATAATAGACAAAATATTTGACAATAATGATTCTCCTTAGTATCCAGACAACGTTTAGTGTTAAATTAAGAAAAATAATATTAACAATAATATTAATAATA